AAGTAGTTGAAACATCAAAAGATTGCCATTAATTAAGGAAAACCAGACATCTCAAGGTAATGAATTTAGCACTTGTCTACATATGGGAAGATGCGAGAATCTGGGCTCATTGAAATTATTTCTTTGATATGCACCTTATCTATTCCTATTCAGAAAGAACTGCCCTGTTTTTTCCCATCATAAGTCCCCTCAGGGCTCAGTGTCAGGGTGGTGGAATATGGCAGGCAAAATGTTTTATTCACATCTCCTAGCATCTTCTCCATAGGTTTCTCTACTCTCCCAGAAGTCCAAGTTGTACCACACTCAAGCTCCAGCATGGTGGCAGACTAAAGTTTCAGAATATGTGAAAGCAGGCAGCTGTCTTCCCATCATGATTTTAAACTTTATTTAAAACTAAATTATAATAGCATTCATGCAATACATATACAGCATAGGACTGATAAAAATGTAAACTCATATAAACATGGTCTTACAAACATTTCATCTTTTTTTAAACCTTATTCATGTACTTAAAATTATCCTAAGCTGCAGAAATGATATGGTAGAAAAGTTTCCATTAAAAAGTAATGAAGTGAGACTAAACCTGAACAATTTAAATGCAAGTTCTTCAGTACTGTCTTACCTTTTTTCCCTTTTACTGCCAATACACTACAGACTGCTTGTCTAGATTTTTTTCCTTACAGACACTATTATTTTTCTGTATGATCAATATCTAGATGAAATACCAAAATAAGTATGTTTTCCCTGGTTAATATCAAAATATATCCCTTGGCCATAAACATGAATCTATCTACATACCTTTACCAAAGTGAATAAGTTGTCAAAACTTAAAGTTCAAAATTAGTTTAACTTTGTTGCAAAAGTATATCCTGACTCCTCCCTTACCTCTTCAGAGCAGTCCTTCAACTCCAAGAAGAAATGACTCACACAGGGTCACTCAGTTGATCAATGGAAGTTCAGATACCTCCAGAACAGAATTCTTTGACAGTACTGTTCCCTAAAAAATAGTGCATTTCTGAACACAGCTGTCACAGCAAACAGTATGACCTAAGGAACTTCATCAGTTCCCACAGAAATATTTACATAGCTGGGTTTGTAGCAGTTATTGGTAGTGCAACAGGAAGGACCTTCAGTTCTGTGCATCATACCTCCAAGAAAATTAATGAAATACAGTGAAATGGGATTAAAATTAGAGTTCAAAGACATAATACAAGAAAGTTTAGTGCTGGCTGTATAATTTGTTTGAAAATCAGGGATGTCATAAATGACAATAGAGGAACAGTTCACTGAATCAATAGAGTGCTGTGGAAATGTAAGAATAGTTTTCCAACAAGTATTTGAGGGCACGTAAAGACGGTTACAGGCTTCCTGGGTGGCTCGGTGGTAAACACTCCACCTGCCAATGAAGGAGACCTGGGCTCATCTTCCCTGGGAAGGGAAGGTCCCCTGGAGAAGGAAGTGGCAGCCCACTCCAGTAGTCCTGCCTGGGGAATCCCATGGACAGAGGAGACTGGCAGGCTGTAGTCCACGATACCACAAAAAAGTTGGACACGACTTAGTGACTAAACCAGTGCCTTGTTCAACAAAGGATGCGTATGGAATCTGAACCTTTGTTCTGCGGAAACATGGCAGGTCAAGTGTGGCTTCCAGGGTGGGCTGTAAGAGACCTTGTAACTTTTATGATCTCAGAATGCTTGCTCCTAGAATCCAGCCACCCTCTACGAAGCTCAAGCTGTGGTATAGAATGGGGACAGCCACATGGAGAGAGATTTTAGAAAGTGAGAGGGCATTTTGGATGCTCAGACCCCAGTGGATGCCGCCTAGAGTAGATGAACTTGCCCACCTGAGCCCAAGCCAATTTATAGAACCATTAGAAATAATAAGTTGTGAGTTTTGGGGCCACTGTGTTTTGGCGTGGCTTGTTTTGTAACAATGGGTGACTGAAAAGGTGGAAAAAATAAAAAACCCTGTCAATACAAATGCTTAGAAATGAGAGAGAAGCTGTAACAAAAATATTTTTAAAATACATAGCTCAGTAACATGAAAGCTATCGAAAATGAAGAGGAATTTGAGGCCAAAGCAATAATCTGGTGAGCTGAAGATGCAGCTGCCCCCAGGACTACAGTTTGGTTGCTGTGCAGATATAGACTCTAAGGCTAGAAGGTTGGGTTTTAATGCCCACCTGGACCTTGGGCCCCTCAAGGTAAGGAGCTGAAGTTGACGCCTCTACATAAATAAATCTGGGGTTCCCAGCTCAGAATGTCAACAAGGAGACTTGAGCTGGCCTAGGGTGCTCCATGGGGAAAGAAAAGGCCCCCATGGTAAGCAGAAAATATATATACACCATGTGTTTGAAACACAAATTTATGCCATCTAAAGTCATACAGTAATATACAAACCAAGAAGTTAATTTATACTTGATTATAGACCATTGTGACCCCCTGGGAGAGTCAGCAAATGGAAATGTAATGTAAAACTATCCTTCAGAATTCCTACTGAAGAAATAAATTTCCAAAGATGAGTTTATAAAACACACAAGGAAATGATCTATTATGAATGAGAGTTGATGGGTAAAATTGCAGGATGATTAGCACTACAAGAACTTGAGGGTAATGTTGAAGATTTCATAAAATAAATACCTTTAAGTGACAAAAGATAACAAGTAGACATAAAACTGTAAGAAAGCAGCAAACTATGAAAAATTAACAATTTGGAAAAAGCAAGTCAGTATATAGCAATATAAATGACACATGAGGAGACATAAGGAATAGAAGCAGAATAACTAAGACATTCTTTGTTCAGCAAGAGGTCTAAAAGGAGACGTTGATAGTATTTGAAAGATACTGCCAAGGATTTATCAGAATTCATGAAAGTCAAAAAATTTGAGTTAAAAGAAGAATCATAAGTTACAAGAAGGGCATATTTAAAATAAATTCACAAGACTTTCCTGGTGGTCCAGTGGCTAAGACCCTGCACTCCCGATGCAGGGGGGCCCAGGTTCCATCCCTGGTCAGGGAACTAGATCCCACAGGCCTCCCACATGCTGCAACCATGAGCTCGCATGCTGCAACTAAAGACCCCACATGCCACAATTAAAAGATACCGCACAACCACAGCAAAAATGGAAGGTCCTGCATGCTGCAACTAAGATCCGGCACAAACAAAACAAAATAAATTCACACTTATGCACTGCAGAACACCAACAAAGAGGAAAAATTAAAACAATTAAAGACTTAACCACAAATAAATAAGTATTGCAAGGACAGCAACTTCCCAAAATCAAGAATTTAGGTCAGAAGATAATGGAATAATTCTAAGTCTTCAAAACATGGATGAAAATAATGGTCAACATAGAGTTCTTCACTAGTTTCAGTGTCATTTAAGAAAATGACATTTGTCATTTTCAGGAAAAAAGAAAGATTTGCTACTCACATACCTTTTCTCTAAAAGCTATCAAAGGAGGCACAACAGTAAAAAGAAAATTGAGCCCAGAGAAGAGAGTATGGTGTAGGAAACAACTGCAAGCCAAGGGAATGGTAAACACAAATGAAAACCATAATATATATTGATTACAAATTTGTAACAATATTAATGAATGCTTAAAAGACTACAATAATTATATATATTTTATAATACACCACATAACACTACATACTTCCTTGTGTCTATTTGTAAATATACATGTGTGTAAAAGTATAAAAACATGCATGTTGTGGATTCACACTAATATCAGGATTCAGTAATCTCTGGGAAGTAAGAGATAATATACAGATAAATCAAAACTATCTGTAAATATTTTAATTTATCCATAATGTTTTATTTTTTTAAATAAAGATTGCAAGGAAATTTGAAAAATATTAACGCTAAATCTGAATGGTAAATATATTCTAGATATATTTACTGTTGTCCAATTTCCTTCATGTTTGCAAGTTTCATTATTAAAATTAATGGATTTATATATAGGTAGAAGTGATAGAAAATATAAGAAAATACTGTGTAACATTAATTACAGAAGTTAGTATCAATAGAAGGATTATGCAGGATTCTTTGTCTACTTTTGAATACTTTAAACATTATCTACAATGAGCACTATACTGCTTTTCCATACACATAAACACCTCAAAGAGTATTTTTTTAAAGATTCATAGGACACTAGAACAGACAGTTAGCTCAGAGATCATCTCCAATTCATCGTTGATGAGATGTAATTTATGGTAACAGAAATCAGATCAATTGTTCGTTCCAGCAAGAGTAGGGTTCGTCACATCTGAGTCAGTTATAATGAGGTGGATGAAACTGGAGCCTATTATACAGAGTGAAGTAAATCAGAAAGAAAAAAAAAACTAGTATATTAACACATATATATGGAATTTAGAAAGATGGCAACGATGACCCTATATGCGAGACAGCAAAAGAGACACAGATATAAAGAACAGACTTTTGGACTCTGTGGGAGAAGGCAAGGGTGGGATGATTTGAGAGAA